GAGAGATTATAATAAAGATTGAGAAAGGGAGAGAGAAAGATAGGTAGGGAGAGAGAGAGAGAGAGAGAGAGAGAGAGAGAGAGGATTTGAGATAAGAATTGAGAGAGGGAGAAAAAAAGAGAAAGAGAGAGAGAGATAGGGAGGGAGATAGAGAGAGAGGGAGTTTGAAATAAATATTGAGAGAGAGAGAGAGATACGGAGATAGGGAGAGAGAGAGAGAGAGAGAGAAAGAAGAGAGAGAGAAATTAGGGAGATAGGGAGAGAGAAAATTAGGGAGATAAGGGGGAGAGAGAATTAGGGATATAGGGGGAGAGAGAGAGAATTTGAAATAAATATTGAGAGAGAGAGAGAGAGAGATAATGACAGAAATAGAGATAGGGATAGGAAAAGAGAGAGAGAGAGAGAATTTAAAATAAATATTGAGATAGATATATATATAGAGATTTAGAGAGAGAGAGAGAGAGAAAATTCCAAACACAGAACTCGAAACAAATTATCGCAAAACGCCTACAATCCTAACCCCCATTCCACCCCCCCCCAGAACCATCCTGGCGAACGGCACCCTCTACCTCAAGTGGACAAATGGGCCCAAGTCCCCTTCGCCGGACGAGGGCGTGTACCAGTGTGTGGCGTCTTCCTATGGGGTCGGCAGAATTGTGTCGAGGGGCGCCAACCTCTCTGTTTTAGGTGAGTTCGCGGGTTTTTAAATTTTTTTTTAGTTAATTTTACATCTTCTTTATCTTATTATTATTATTATTATTAATTTATTATTGTTGTTTAGGCGCCAACCTCTCTGTTTTAGGTGAGTTCGTGGGTTTTTAAATTTTTTTTTAGTTAATTTTACATCTTCTTTATCTTATTATTATTATTATTATCAATTTATTATTGTTGTTAATGTGCCAACCTCTCTGTTTTAGGTGAGTTCGTGGGGTTTTAAATTTTTTTAGTTAATTTTACGTCTTCTTATTATTATTGTTTAGGCGCCAACCTCTGTTTTAGGTGAGTCCGTGGGTTTTTTAATTTTTTTTTAGTTAATTTTACATCTTCTTTATCTTATTATTCTTCTTTATCTTATTATTATTATTATTATCAATTTATTATTGTTGTTATTGTTGTTATTGCGCCAACCTCTCTGTTTTAGGTGAGTTTGTGGGGTTTTAAATTTTTTTAGTTAATTTTACGTCTTATTATTATTATTGTTTAGGCGCCAACCTCTGTTTTAGGTGAGTTCGTGGGTTTTTTAATTTTTTTAGTTAATTTTACATCTTCTTCTTTATCTTATTCTTCTTCTTTATCTTCTTCTTATTATTATTATCAATTTATTATTGTTGTTATTGTGTTATTGTGCGTGGGTTTTTAAAGTTTTAATTTATTTTTTCGTCTTCTTATTATTATTGTTTAAGCGCCAACCTCTGTTTTAGGTGAGTTCGTGGGTTTTTTAATTTTTTTAGTTAATTTTACATCTTCTTTATCTTATTCTTCTTCTTTATCTTATTATTATTATTATTATCAATTTATTATTGTTGTTATTGTGTTATTGTTCGTCTTCTTATTATTGTTGTTTAGGCGCCAACCTCTCTGTTTTAGGTGAGTTTGTGGGTTTTTAAATTTTTTTTAGTTAATTTTACATCTTCTTCTTTATCTTATTATTCTTCTTTATCTTATTATTATTATTATTATTATTAATTTATTATTGTTGTTAATGTGCCAACCTCTCTGTTTTAGGTGAGTTTGTGGGTTTTTAAAATTTTTTTAGTTAATTTTACATCTTCTTTATCTTATTATTATTCTTTATCTTATTATTATTATTATTAACTTGTTATTGTTGTTATTGTTGTTATTGCGCCAACCTCTCTGTTTTAGGTGAGTTCGTGTTTTTTTTGTTTTTTTTTTTAATTTTTCGTCTTATTTTCTTTTCTTTTTTTTGTTTTTATATTTTTTAATTTTTTTGTTTTCTTCTTTATCTTATTATTGTTGTTATTATTGTTATTATGGCGCCAACCTCTCTGTTTTAGGTGAGTTCATGGGTTTTTTTATTTTTTTATTTTTCATTTATTTCTTCGTCATCGTCTTCTTTATCTTATTATTGTTGTTATGGCACCAATCTCTCTGTTTTAGGTGAGTTCGTGGGTAAAAAAAAAAAAAAAAAAAAAAAAAAAAAAAAAAAAAAAAAAAAAAAAAAAAAAAAAAAAAAAAAAAAAAACGTTTATTTCTGCTTCTTCTTCTTCGTCTTTTTCGTCCTATTATCGTTATTATTATTGTTATTTTATTTTATTTTATTTTTTTTCAGGATTTTTTCTCATATGTGAAGTATATAACTAATAGATAGATTATAGGATAATATTTTCGTAATTAAAAAATATATATACATGTATAGATACATTTTTATATATAAAATTAAAAGTTATTAAACACATTTTATCCAAAATTAACAAATAAAAGAGGTTTGCACGACAGACAATACTTTACGTAATAATATACTCATAAGAATATGAAATATTATAATATATTATATTAAATATCATTTCATCAGAACTATTTACATAATAATATACTCTTATGATAATAATATAAAATATTATTATATTAAATATTATTTCCTCGAACCAATTTACGTAATAATATACTCTTATAAGGATAATATAAAATATTATAATATGTTATTATATTATTTTCTCCTCCTTAATATTATATCCTCAGAACTAATTTACGTAATAATATACTCTTTTAATAATATAAAATATTATAATATATTATTATATTAAATATAATTTCCTCGGAACCAATTTACGTAATAATATACTTTTATAATAATAATATAAAATATTATAATAATATTTATTATATTATTAATATATTATTATATTATTTTCTCCTTAATATTATATCCTCGGAACCAATTTACGTAATAAAATGCTCTTATAATAATAATATAAAATATTAGAATAATATATTATATTATTTCCTTGGAACTAATTTACGTAATAATATAGTCTTATAATAATAATAGAAAATGTTATAATAGATTATTATATTGAATGTTATTTCCTTGGAACTAATTTACGTAATAACATACTCTTATAATAATAATAGAAAATGTTATAATAGATTATTATATAGAATGTTATTTCCTTGGAACTAATTTACGTCATAATATACTCTTATAATAATATAGAATATTGTAATAATACATTATTATATTATTTCCTTGGAACTAATTTACGTAATAATATAGTCTTTTAATGATAATAGAAAATGTTATAATAGATTATTATATTGAATGTTATTTCCTTGGAACTAATTTACGTAATAACATACTCTTATAATAATAATAGAAAATGTTATAATAGATTTTTATATTGAATGTTATTTCCTTGGAACTAATTTACGTAACCAGAACAGAGCCTAATCTAATAAGTCTTAGATTCTAAGTTTATAAGTCTGATAGTTATAAGTAAGTTACTAGTAGTAAGTTACTATTACTAATAGTCATAAGTCTTAGATTTTAAGATTATAATTCTAATAATAGGTAAGTTACTAATAGGAAGTTACTAGTAGTAAGTTACTATTACTAATAGTAAGTTACTATTACTAATAGTAAGTTACTATTACTAATAGTAAGTTACTATTACTAATAGTAAGTTACTATTACTAATAGTAAGTTACTATTACTAATAGTAAGTTACTATTACTAATAGTAAGTTACTATTACTAATGGTCATAAGTCTTAGAGAGTGAATCAGTTCCAAGCTGGGCTTTATCCGGGAAAATCTGCCCTTGAGTTGAAAATTCCTTCTAGGTGTCAGAAATCCACACAAATCCTCACAATTTTCTTTTTTATTAAACGCCACTTTTATTTTGTTTGAAATCCACAAACAAATTACGTGTCAAAAAAATCCACACAAATCCATACAATTTTTTTTATTACAAGTCTAAAAAATCCACACAAATCCATACAAATTTTTTTACGTGTCTAAAAATCCACACAAATCCACAATTTTTTTTATTACATGTCAAAAAATCCACACAAATCCACACAATATTTTTATAACATGTCTAAAAAATCCACACAAATCCACAATTTTTTTTATTACGTGTCTAAAAATCCACACAAATCCATACAAATATTTTTATGTGTCTAAAAATCCACACAAATCCATACAAATTTTTTTTGTGTCTAAAAAATCCACACAAATCGCTCTCGTCGCACTGGGACCCATTTTAACGCATTTCTTTCTTTCTCTCTCTCTCGTTAATTTGCAATCGTGCAGGAGCTTGGAATCCGGGTAATTATGACTGTGACTTTGATAATTAAAGCTGAATTTTGTATTTTTTGTTTTTATCCTTTTGTTGTTCATTGTAATGGTATGCTTTTGATTTTTCTTTATTGTATGTGTAGGTGTATGTATGTATGTACGTATGCATGTATGTATGTACATGGATATGTATGTATATGTATATGTGTATATGTATGTATGTGTATATATATGTAAATGTACATATATATGCATATATACATATATATGTATATATTGTAATTTTTATGTAAATGTAATTTAAGTATATAATTTTATTTTTATCGTATTTTGTGCTTTTCCTCTCATTCTCTGTCTCTCTGTCTGTCTCTCTCTCTCTCTCTTTGTCTTTGTCTCTCTCTCTCTTTCTCTCTCTCTCTCTCTCTCTCTCTCTCTCTCTCTCTCTCTCTCTCTCTCTCTCTCTCTCTCTCTCTCTCTCTCTCTCTCTCTCTCTCTCTCTCTCTCTCTCTCTCTCTCTCCCTCCCTCCCTCTCCCCCTTCCTCTCTCTCTCCCTCTCCCCCTTCCTCTCTCTCTCTCTCTCTCTCTCTCTCTCTCTCTCTCTCTCTCTCTCTCTTTCTCTCTCTCTCTCTCTCTCTCTCTCTCTTTCTCTCTCTCTCTCTCTCTCTCTCTCTCTCTCTCTCTCTCTCCTCTCTCTCTCTCTCTCTCTCTCTCTCCTCTCTCCCTCTCTCTCTCTCCCTCTCTCCCTCTCCCTCTCCCCCTTCTCTCTCTCTCCCTCTCCCCTCTCCTCTCTCTCTCTCTCCTCTCTCTCTCTCTCTCTCTCTCTCTCTCTCTTCTCTCTCTCTCTCTCTCTCTCTCTCTCTCTCTCTCTCTCTCCTTCCATCATCTTATCGATATTGAGTAAAATTTTGATGTAGTAATAAATGTATTTCAATGTAGGAATAATTTTGTTGGAAATAGATTACTTTTCCATTATTATTGTTGTTGTTGTTGTTGTAACGTACTATCTCTGTCGTTATTATTATTATTATTGTTGTTGTTGTTGTATTGTTGTTGTTGTTGTTGTTGTTATTATATTTTGCTATCACTATTATTGTCAATATAGTGAATGTTATTAGAAGTAATTGTAATAATGTTGTATTTTGTCATCGGAACATTTGCATATATTTTTTTGTATAATTGGTACAGTTTTTTTATTGTTATTTGTTAAATTGTTATTATTATTATTATTACTATTAGTATTACTGTTACTGTTATTATTATTATTATTGTAGTTATTATTGTTGTTATTATTATTATTGTAGTTATTATTGTTGTTATTATTATTATTGTAGTTATTATTGTTGTTATTATTATTATTGTAGTTATTATTGTTATTATTATTATTATTATAATTACTACTGTTAGTACTATTTTTATGGTTTTGTTAATTATTATTGTTACTATTTTTATCATCCTTATCTTTTGTTATTATCATTATCATGATTTCTATTATCATTGTCCGTATCATTAATTTTTTTTTTCCCTTTTTCTTTCTCTCTTAAACGGCAGATTTTTTCTTTATCTTTTGTTAATATCATCATAATGATTTTTATTATTATTATTGTTATTTTTTTTTTCTTTCTTTTTTTCTTCTTCTTCTTATTATTATTATTGTTATTTATTATTATTAATTTCTTTTTATCAATTTTCTTTTTCCCCTGTTTTTCATTTTCTTCTTCTTATTATTATTTTTATTATTATTATTATTTATTCTTTTTCTTATTAATTTTCAATCATTATTATCATTAATAATTTTCTTTTTTCTCCCCTTTTTTTTCTTCTTCTTCTTCTTATTATTATTATTATTTATTCTTTTTCCTCTTCTTCTTCTTCTTATTATTATTAATTTTCAATCATTATTATCATTAATAATTTTCTTTTTCTCTCCCCTTTTTCTTCTTCTTCTTATTATTATTATTATTATTAAATTTCTTTTTCCTCTTCTTCTTCTTATTATTATTATTATTAATTTTCAATCATTATTATCATTAATTATTTTCTTTTTCTCTCCCCTTTTTCTTCTTCTTCTTCTTCTTATTATTATTATTATTATTTATTCTTTTTCTTATTAATTTTTAATCATTATTATCATTAATAATTTTCTTTTTCTCTCCCCTTTTTCTTCTTATCCGCAAAAACAGCCCTGCAGAGGTTCGAGGAAGAGCCCGAGGACGTGGAAGTCTTCGAGGGCGAGAGGGCGCGTTTCCCCTGCTCCTTGAGGGGGACGTCTGGGGGGGTAGGGGGGGAGAGGAGAGGGGGGATGGGGGATGTGTTTGGAAGAGGAGGAGGAGAAGGAGGAATAGGAGGAGGAGGAATTTGGGAAACGGGTTCTTCTTCCTCGTCTTCTTCCTCGTCGCTTGCTCCTCCTATGTCTTCTTCGTCCTCTTTATCTTCTTCTTCTTCTCCTTCTTCTTCTTCTTCTTCCGTCTCTTCCTCTTCCCTCTCCGTCAGCGTCTCGTGGTTCAAGGACAGCCAGCCTTTGGAGGTCGACTCGAGGATGACTCTCCTCCCCTCGGGTGAGTCGCTTCCGTCTGTTTTGGAAAAGAGTCGTTTGTTTGAAGATTAAGGCCTAATGATCTAATTAACTCATTAATCCTATTTTTATTATTATTACTATTATTAAACTGAATAATCTGTCGCTTCCGTCTGTTTTGAAAGAGAGTCGTTTGTTTGAAGATTAAGTTAATTAAGAGTTGTTTGTTTGGAAATTAAGTTAATTAAGTAATTCGTTTGAAGATTAAGTTAATTAAGAGTCGTTCGTTTGATGATTAAGTTAATTAAGAGTTGGTTGGGTTGAAAATTAAGTTGATTAAGTTCGTTTGGAGATTAAGTTAATTGCAGTTGATTAGTTTATTGCAGTTGATTGATGATTTGATTAGGTGATTGTGAGTTAAGGAAGTTAGTTAATTATTTAATGAATTAATTAGGTGATTGTGATTGTGATAGTGAGTTAATGAAACAGATGATTGAAGATCTGCCCTTGGGTGAGTCGCTTCCGTCTGTTTTGAAAGAAAGAGTCGGTTTGTTAATTAAGAGTCGGTTCGTTTGAAAATTTTGAAAATTAAGTATATTTTCAAAATCTTCAAACGAACCGACTCTTAATGAAGTTCATTAAGAGTCGGTTTGCTTGGAAGGTTTGAAAATTAAGTTCATTAAGAGTCGGTTCGTTTGAAAATTAATTAGGCGATTGTGAGCTAAGGAAATTAATTTATTATTTAATAAATTAATTAGGCGATTGTGAGCTAAGAAAATTAGTTAATTATGTAATAAATTAATTAGGTGATTGTGATTGTGAGCAGTTTTGAAGCAGTTTTCTTCATTATTTAATCAACTAATTTGATTAACTAATTTAATCAACTGTGTTTGTGTGTATTTGTGTACGTATGTTTGTGTGTATTTGTGTACGTATGTTTGTGTATTTGTATTTGTGTACGTATGTTTATGTGTATTTGTATGTGTGTGTATGTTTGTGGACGTGTATGTGTGTGTACGTATGTTTATGTGTACATATCTTTATGTGTATATGTGTGTGTACGTATGTTTACGTGTACATGCATGTACGTACACGTATTTATACATGGATATATCTCAAAATTGAAAATCAACTTATGGAAGCGAACAACATGTGTGTTTGTGTGTGTGTACGTGTGTGTATACATGTACGTGTATGTATGTGTACGTGTATATGTTTGTACGTGCGTGTGTGTATGCACATTTATACATGAATTTATACAAAAAATGCTTAGAAATCCGCTACCTGCAGTGCGTGTGTGTGTGTACGTGTATGTGTACATGTATATGTATATGTATGTACATATGTATGTGTGTGCATATTTATACATGGACGTATCTAAAAATGCTTAGAAAACTGCTACCTGCAACGTACATACATATACACGTACACATATGTACACATGTACACATACATATACACACATGCAGATGAGCTTGCAAGTGCACATAGCAATGACACCCTCCCCCCCAACAGGAGCGCTGGAGATCGAGAATGTCGTGTCATCTGACGAGGGCGAGTACTACTGTCACGCGTCAAGCTTCGACAAGACCAAGGTGTCACACACAGCCACGCTCAGGGTAAGGTTGACAGGTTCTTGTCATGTGATGGGGTTTATGACACTTTGATGAGCTGAGGTTTGCTTGACACTAGACATATGTCACCCACTCCTAGGTTATTTGGGACACTTGACACATCAGGGTTTATGGCACTTAATACATCAAAGTTTATGACACTTGACACATCAAGGGTTTATGACATTGGACACATCAAGGTTAGACACCCGACACATCAAGGTTTATGACACCCGACACATCAAGGTTTATGACACTTGACACATCAAGGGTTATGACACTTGACACATCAAAAGTTTATGGCACTTGACACATCAAGGTTTATGTCACTTGGCACATCCAGGTTTATGACACTTGACACATCAAGGTTTATGACACTTGACACATCAGGGTT